GATTTTCAATTTTTTTGTAGTTTATTGCACTTTTTTGCAATTTATGTAATTACTATGCACTTAATGCAGACATATTATTAAAATTTGGGTTATAATGGTTGTATTGATGTATAGCAACTTGAAATGCTCCCAAAAATGGCTCCGCAGCATGTAAAAATATAATACAAGCTCTGGCGGACTTGGGTCTATGGTAGGTCTTAAAGGGTTAAAGCCTGGGAGGATTATAAACCCCTTTGTCACATACGGCATCTGCTGCCAAAAATCTGCCAAACCAAATATGTGGAGCTACCTGCTGTAAATAAGTGAGTGGACGGAAGCAGCTTCTCTTCTTTTCTGATGCATTTGTTTTGCCATTAGATATATTTTTGCTTTATTATTTTTATGTAGTTTACAACTTGTTTTGCTGGTGAGTCTATAATAAATCAAGAAATCTCCATGTCTGCCTGTTCATTTTTTATCGTTCTCAAAAGCTTCAAGCTGTCTGTTTTATCTGAACACTTCAGCTGAACATCCTCTCACCTCTCATCCAAATATGGTCACTTCTGAAAATAACAGCAACATAACAGTGGTTAAAATGCTAACAGGGTGGCAGAAAGACAGCAGCAGAAATACAGAGTAAGAAGCGGAGAACGGAGGCTACAGAAAACAGCTACAGCTCAAAAGGCTGTTTCTTTATGTGCAGCCAGTTTCACGGTAGAAGAATGAAATTAATGACAGAGGTAACGACATAACCAAACCAGTTTTTTAAAATGAAACTTCCTGCACAGTAAGTCGACCCGTTTTATTGAAATCCCTCACCTGCAGTAGCAAGTTACAGGTTGTTGTGAACTGGATGCTAGAATACATTATTTTTGCTTCAACATTTGTTATTAAAGTTAATAATACTCTTTTTGATTATCTGTTGAGAACTTTACCAAACTGTCAGTGAAATGCCTGATGTGTCTGATGTAATATATCCTGAATAATGATAAAACTATGAATGTTTTTGTCTTTACGCCACATTTGACTCTGACAAGACAGACGGCATAATTATGCATGTACTTGTCACTTTCATAAATCAATCTTGTCATGTAAAACTCTTTGACATTTCCCGACATGAATGCTTCCTGTATGCTTGCATTTAGGAGAAACGGGTGGTATTTCTAGGCTCGAAGGTAGATATCATCTCCGTGAAGGCATTCTTTTCAGAAAAACAAATTCACTGTAAAGAGTTTAAAGGTACAAATGTGCATGCAGCACTGTGACTTATCCTGCTTAGTTTTATACTAGTTGAACATTTAAATATTCCAAGTTTATCGATGTAATCTATATTTAAACAGCCCCTCCTGATTACCCCCTCCTAATGCACATATAGCTCTAACAATCAGACACAGACAGTCTCAAATCAGACACCCAGAGGGTATCTCCCAAAAACTGCCCTATGACCAACAAATAACTCTTAATGTCCCTGCATGAAATGGGCCTGTGAGGCCTGCAGATCATGTCTTCAAGGGAGCTCTTAGTGTCCATCACAAACGCAGGTGAAGAAAACTAGTTTCACTTTCCATATTAGCAAAGCTGATATCACTTAAGCAAATTAAGTGATAAAATATAGTTTTCTTTTTCTTTAATTGATTGATGGATTGAAGCCTTTATTGCAGTTGCCTGCCAGCGAAATTAGATCTCTTTATACATATAATACACAGTGTTGGGAAGGTTACTTTTAAAATGTATTCCATTACAGATTACAGAATACATGCCCCAAAATGTATTCCGTTACGTTACTCAATGAGAGTAACGTATTCTGAATACTTTGGATTACTTAATATATTATCATGCTGTTTACAACTACATGAATGTACTATTGCTGTGATTTATTACTGTTACTGAAGGTCCGCGGCTCCGAACCGTAGTAAAGGGACCTCTGGCTAATACAGCGGGTTCTGTGTCGGCTCGTAGCCGAAAACTAGCTTTACTTTGTTGTCTGGGTCAACTTTGCTAGTGAGAGACAGAGAGAGGCATTGAAAGGCTGCTCCAACAAAACTTATTGTTTTTGGAGGAAAACACGAACACGGTGTACAGTCGAGTCTTAATAGCTTACTTACAACTGGGCTCGTCAGGCTCTCTTCTTGGCTGCAGTGGTTATTATTATATTTACATGCTTCCAGCTCCCGTTTCTGCTCGATGACAGCTCGTACTTTTCCTTTTTCTCCCTCCCTCGCTCACAGACACATAACGTGTATGGCAGTCCATTCTCCCTGCAGCACGGACTACACTGCCCATGATGCTACATTCTTTAGAGCTATACCTGTAGCATTCTGCCTGTTAGCTTAGCACAACACAACAAAAAGGCCTCTCTCACCCAGGAAACACGCAGAGAGAGAGCGTCACCCTGTAACCATGGCAACCGTAACGCTGCCGCCTGGAACAACAGAACGTAGCTGTCAAACAAAACCCAAACAGTCCTGACCCGCCACAACATGAAACAGGGAAGTACCGCCATGTAATCCATTTATTTCAACAAAGTAACTGTATTCTAAATACCACCTTTTTAAACGGTAACTGTAACGGAATACAGTTACTCATATTTTGTATTTTAAATACGTAACGGCGGTACATGTATTCCGTTACTCCCCAACACTGGTTACACATTTAAAATATACCACCATTCGTGTGTGTTTAAGTATCCTAATATCTTAGACCGTATTTAAATTCACTGAGATATTAAATGAAAACGATCCAGCACTTACGTACAGATATTTTTCACTCTAGCAGACACTTGTGTTAAACAGATCCTTTAATTTTAGTACAAGTTCTGTAATGTAACTACAGAAAATTAAAAAGTAGCTCTTCTGATGATATTTCTGGGGTCTCCTCCTCCTGTGTGACCAAACATAACATGTATCAGCTGCTCGCTATCATAGATGGTGTCCAGAAACAATCGGGACTTTCTAAATAACTGCCAAACTTTCTGTGGAAATCCTTTTCTTGGTGTGTCTCTGTGTGTATGAGACAAAGAGACAGTTAGCTTTGCTTCACATGAGTGTTCTTTGTGAAAAAAACTCTAACTTTGGTCATTTAATTCTTACTCTTACTCGAATCCATATTAATTTTATGTGAAATTACATATTAAATTGAGTGTTTAGAGCAGTCTGAAGCCTCAGTATTTAGCTTAAAGGAAATACTTGTGCAGACACATACCTTTTATTTTTTTAAGCATGTGGCTAAAACACAGCTGACCACTTTTGCTACACTTGCTGAGAGACTGAAACCGTTATTAATCAGGAAGCCTCCACCCCCCACTGTGATTTCTACTTCTGCTTCCAGGATAAAGCAGTGTAATCCAGGCCTGTCAGAGGAGCACAGGGGACCAGGAAAGGCGTGTTTATCTGTCAGACAGAAACAGGAAGCAACGAGGAGCAGTGCCACAGTTCAAGGCGATAGAGGCGGTTTCATTTTCTTATAGCATTTAAACTCGGCACACAAGACAGGCCGACTGGATTTCACAGGTAAACTAGCTTTCTGCTTTCATCTTATCTTTCTCTCACAGCAGGTCTTTTCCCATTTGATGACTCTGTGAATTAAACATTTACAGAAAAGCTGCACTTCCTGCTGTGTAGTGATTCTGTGTGTGTACTCCAGGGTCGTTTTTTCTTCTTCTTTGATTTTGTTTAAACTGAACCCTCAGTGAGAATTTGAGGGAAATCTTCTCCGTGAGTGTCTGCTGCAGCACAGTTTTAACTCTTTCACAGAGGAAGAATGAGGGGGAGTACATCAAAGTGTTGGACACTTGTTACTTTCAGATTTCTGTTTGAGACTGGATCAGTTTAAGAATAAAGATCACGGCTCAGGTAAACCAAAATCATTGGGTATTGTGTAAGAGCGGTCAAAACAGAGAAGTTAGAGAAATCCAGAGGGACTATATTTACAGGCACGCCTGTGGTGAAGTCTGAAAAAGTCTAAATTATTTCAGCTCTTCAATAGTTTTCATTAGCCATTTTTAAAATGATGGTTGGTTTCTTCATTTCAATTTAGTTGTAATTCATTCCAGACTCTGGAAATCGATGCATCACGTTTCTCTACAAAAACAATACTAATGCTTAAGGAAAAGAGCTATGATTCTAGATCGAAGTTAGACCTGTTTGGTTTTTTCTTGTTACTTCAACTCATTAAAAACTGTATAAACTGTCCATCCTCTCTGTCCCTTTAGCTTGTCATGGACTTTGTAGATCCCATCCTGTCCATCGCCTCACAGATCTATGACCTGGTCGAGAATGTGAAGGCCAATAAAAAGCGCTGCCGACGTGTCTGTAACCGAGTCAAAGCCTTGGAGGAGCTGGTGAAGTCCATCAAACAGACGTCTCCAGGGGTAGAGAAAGCTCTGAGAGAACTCTCCGTCACTCTTCAATCAGCACAGGAACTTATCAGAAAATATGCCTCAGCCAATTTGGTGGAACGCATCCTAAACTCCAGCAACCATGGAGACGAGTTCAACAGTGTGAACGAACGGCTCAACGATGCCTTCCAGGTGCTGTCTGGGGCTTTGCAGGTGGAGCAGGGGAACATGCTGTGTGAGGTATTTAAACAGACGACCAGAGAGAAAGAAGATCAGTTGGATGGGAGGGAGGACGACGCAGAACTGAAGACATGTGAGGGGAAACTGATTATGGATTTGCTTTTGTGGAGATTTGAGCAGAAAAAATTAACTACTTGGTCTCAAATGTGATACTTGTCCGTTGTTATGCAGGGATGAGCGGACCAAGAGAGCAGGATCTTTACCAGAAAGTTTCCTAATTTTGTTTACAGCTAACAAGTGTGTGTCTATGAAGAGGACTGAAAGTCAGACCCACAATCTTAAAATGAGTTCTTAAGTGCAGCCGGAGCAGCAACAGATTTGGTCAGAAGCCTTTCAGCAGAGATCTGAACAACCTGAGGACAATCCAGGGAGCTAGTAAACAGTGAATTACAATAATCCAAACGTGATGAAATAAGTGCATTACTAACATTTTCCCATTCTAGAGTGACATAATGGGACCCCAAAGTTCTTGATAAAAGATTTAGCACAAATATATAACCGAATGTCATCTGCACAGCAGTGATAACAAA